TGGCTAGGCATCTTTGATTTCTTCCTTCTTCTCTTCCTTATGTGTCAGGATTAAGCTACCTGACTTCAAAGTGTAGTGGAAAAGACCTACAAAAATAATGAAGTGCTTTACACAGAAAATTATAGATAGGCACAGGATTGCTGTGGAGCCAGAAAAGATGGGCTCAGCTTAGCCTGTGAGGGCCAGCGAAGGTTGATAAATTGAGCTAGACAGAGAGAAGGGAGGGGGCGCTCTAGGCAGAGTAGATGGCATGTGCAAAGAAAAGAAGATGCTCATGTGTGAGAGAGAGAGAAAAGAAGGAGAGGAAGGGAGAAAGGAGAGAGGATTTGTGGTACTGCAAGCAGCTTTGTGTGGTTGAAGAAGTTTTCACTTTGACTGTGTCGCCAATGGAGGGGGCTGGGGTGGGGATGGGAGAAGAGTAGGAGCTCTGGAGCCAGACAGCCTGCATGGTCCAAATCCCCGCTCTGCCACTTACCAGCTATGTAACTTTGTGCAAATGACAACCTCTCAAGCCTCAGATCCTCATTTGTTAATGGGATAATAATAGCACCTACCTTTTGGGACTCATAATTAAATGGCCTAATACTTATAAAGCACTTAAAACAGTGCCTGTCATATAATGTGATTCAATAGAGAGTAGTTATTATTGTAACCCCATTGCTCTCTTTCTCTCATTCCCTACTTTTACTCCATTCCAAGTAAGTCTTATCAATTCTTCCTCTAAAACAAATACCAAGACCATCCTCTTTTGTCACCACCTTGGTCCAAAGAACTATGATTTCTTTCCTGGATTCTTATAGTAGCCTCCTAACTGCTCTCCCTGTTTCTATTCTTGCTCTGTTACAATCTGATCCACAAAACAATTAGAGTAATCCTTTTCAAAGGTAAATTGGGTGTCACTCCACTTAAAAATCTATTGTTTCTCATCACACATCATCCCAACCATTTAGAATTCTTATCATGACCTTAAAAGGTCGTAAATAGGGCTTCCCTGGTGGCGCAGTGGTTGAGAGTCCGCCTGCCGATGCAGGGGACACGGGTTCGTGCCCCGGTCCGGGAAGATCCCACATGCTGCGCGGAGTGGCTGGGCCCGTGAGCCATGGATGCTGAGCCTGCGCTTCGGAGCCTGTGGTCCGCAATGGGAGAGGCCACAACAGTGAGAGGCCCGCGTACTGAAAGAGAAAAAAAAAAGGTCTTAAATAATCTGGCTGCCTCTTACCTCTCTAAACCTACATCACATTCCCTCTTACTCACCATGCTTCAGCCTCTAGTTGCCTTGAACTTGGCAAGTTTGTCTTGCTAGAACCTTTGCATCTGCTGTTCTCTCTGCCTTCCCCACCCTGTAACTTGTTTGCCTCCTTCTTGTCTTGTACTGGGTTGGCCAAAAGGTTCATTTGGTTTTTTCCATAAGATGACTCTAGTAGCACTTAGTTGTCTTTAACTTCATTCGAAACAGTTTTGTTAGATTGTATGTGACAGCTGTCATATCAGCGTGCATTTCAAAAAAAGACATCAAAATTGGTGAATTTTTGTGTAGCCATTTTAATATTGAAAATGGAAGAAAAAAGCAACATTTTCAGCATATTATGCTCTAGTATTTCAAGAAAGGTAAAAATGCAGCTGAAATGCACAAAAAGATTTGTGCAGTGTATGAAGAAGGTGCTGTGACTGGTCGAACGTGTCAAAAGTGGTTTGCAAAGTTTCGTGCTGGAGATTTGCTGGACGATGCTCCACGGTCGGGTAGACCAGTTGAAGGTCACAGAAATCAAATCGAGACACTGGTTGAGAACAATCAATGTTATACATGTGGGAGATAGCTGACATACTCAGAATAACCAAATCAAGCATTGAAAATCATTTGCACCAGCTTGGTTATGTTCATTGCTTTGATGTCTGGGTTCCACATAAGTTAAGCAAAAAAAACCTTCTTGACCGTATTTCTGCACGCAATCCTCTACTTAAAAGTAATGAAAACATTCCCTTTTTAAAACAAATTGTGACAGGCGCTGAAAAGTGGATACTGTACAATAAAGTGGAATGAAAGAGATTGTGGGGCAAGCGAAATGAACCACCACCAACCACGCCAAAGGCCGGTCTTCATCCAAAGAAGGTAATGTTGTGTATATGGTGGGATTGGAAGGGAGTCCTCTATTATGAGCTCCTTCCAGAAAACCAAACGATTAATTCCAACAAGTACTGCTCCCAATTAGACCAACTGAAAGCAACTAATTCTCGATGAAAAGCACCCAGAATTAGTCAACAGAAAACGCATAATCTTCCATCAGGATAAGGCAAGGCCACATGTTTCTTTGATGACCAGGCAAAAACTGTTACAGCTTGGCTGGTAAGTTCTGATTCATCTGCCGTATTCACCAGACATTGCACCTTTGGATTTCCACTTATTTAGGTCTTTACAAAATTCTCTTAATGGAAAAAAATTTCAATTCCCTGGAAGACTGTAAAAGGCACCTGGAACAGTTCTTTGCTCAAAAAGATAGTAAGTTTTGGGAAGATGGAATTATGAAGTTGCCTGAAAAATGGCAGAAGGTAGTGGAACAAAAGGGTGAATACGTTGTTCAATAAAGTTCTTGGTGAAAATGAAAAATGCCTTTTTTTTAAACTTAAAAACCGAAGGTACTTTTTGGCCAACCCAATAGAACCAGCTCAAATGTCAGAGGAGTGGACTTTAGTTTGAGACACCAAACTGAAGTAACAGGCTCCCTGGTTTCTATATGTTACTCTGGTAAATTTATTTCCTTTTGTTTATGTCTCTGTTGTTATTTACTCTGCCTTCCCCAACTCTGTGCCCCAGAATATATGTTCTATGAGAGCAGAAACAAGGCCTGTCTTTTTCATTGCTGTATTCCCAGTTTCAATAACAGCAAAACTCTCTGCCTGAACTAGGCACCCAATAAATATTTATTGAATTGATATTGAATGAATTAAAAGAGAGTAGGGAAAGAAGGGAGAATGCTGCCAAAAATGAAGGCAGCTGGGGCCAATTATTATGCTTTTGCAGTAATCCAGTGAGAAATGATGAGGCCCTCCAGTGGTTTTCAATCTTGGCTCTGCATTGGAATCACCTGGGGAGTTTTAAAAACTACTGATGCCTGAGCATCATCCTCAGGGCCCCTGATTTAATTGGTGGATGCAGCCTGGGTGTCAGGATATTTCTTAAAGCTCCAGAGGAGATTCTATCATGCAGCCCAAGCTGAAACCACTGCCCAAAGGCAGAAGGGGGATATAGAAGAGAGTAAGTGCAGGGATGTTTAGGACATGCAATAAGCAGGACTTGGTGGTTAACTGCAAACTGGAACTGATGAAAAGGAGGGTGCCTAGGAAGAATCCTAGATTTCTGGCTTGGGCCTGGGTAGAAGAGAGAGGCAAGTTTTGAGAAAAAGATAACAAATTATGTCTTGGACAGGCTAAGTTTGAAGTGCCTGTGGGGATTTGACTGGAGATGTTCAATAGATATTTCTTTAATAGATTTACGTTGCCCTAGTGAAGAACAGGAAATCCCTCTAGTTTTTAAGATGACAGGGAAAGACATCTCCGGAAATTATGACAGAGTACAAGACCATTCCCACTCTGCACAGACTCTTTACTCAAAACTCCCTTCCAAGACAATGCCCCATCAGTTCTGAAATGTTGTTCAACATGTTGATATATTTACAGGAAGGATTATATTATGGATGGGTACCATCCTATAAATCCATTTAACTTACTATTCTTGTATTACCTGTAGGCTTAAAGTATCCCACTGAGTAAATTGCTGGCAGCCTCCAAATAGCATTTAAAGGAATATATAACAGCTTTAAAACTTTCTGATAAATGAAAATGAACATACCCATCATTACTTCCTTTAAGAGTTGTGGTCAAATATACTTAGACCTAAACTGCTTAGAAACCTTGTTTAGTTTTTAAATTGGTAAATATTTACTGGGTTACCAAAGATACCAAGTACCCTCTGAAAGACCATGGCTCCTTGGTTTGTTTCTAATTTAAATTAGATACACTAAAACAAGGATTGATAGGGGGATATATTTAGTTAAGTAACAGATGGCGAAAGGACGTTTCTGTCCAGCATCTATCACATTCCTGTTTCTCAGTATTCCAAAGAGTGACTAAATCTTGAAATCAACTAGGAAGGAATGGACTGAATGTGTTTATTCAACGAAGCTGAACTGATGCCCAGTCACGTGTAGGTTAAAAAATTCAAAGGGGGTATGGCTGGCTTCAAGGATATGGGGGGTGGAACGGATAAAGCGGATTAAAGTAATTCAGAAGGTATCAAACATAACTGAAATATGAATTCTGAATTCTTAAGGGACTCTGTGATATCAAGTGGGAAAGAAAGAGGTGAGTGGAAGATATTCTCCGAACCCTCACGCAAGGTGTTCACCTGTGGCTAAGGGCTGTTCCTAGCAGCCCCTGCGGAAAACTAAGGTCTGTTAAAAGAAGGGTGCGGTGGGGCGCCGCCACCCTGAGGGAAGGACATTTCCTCCCGGAGAGGTTTGAAACTCGCTGCAGCACCACCGCCCTGCTCTCCCTGGGGCTGCCAATCTAGCAGGTGAACCGTGAGAACACAAAGGAATGAATAATGGCGTGCGAAACGCCGAAAGCCGGGCTCCGCAAGTCCAGCATCTCCCTACACCTCCAGCCACTCCCACCCGTCCTTGGAGGAGACACCTGCCCCACAGCCCGGCCCGCTTCGGGGAAGTCTTGCGGGATGATGGGCAGGAAGAGCCGCTGATAGCCCCGGGCGGGTAGACAGGCGGGAGGGGCCGCACTCCCAGCAGCCCGAGTCGCTGGCGGGGAGCTCCCGGGCGTGCGCGGAGCGAACACGAGCGAGCGAACAGCCGCGTCCCAGAGCCGCCCGCGACGGGCCGGGTGGGCGTGACGCCATGACGCAAGGCACGCGGGCGGTGCGCAGGGGCGGGGCGGGGGCGGGAGGAAGGAGTGGGAGGAGGGGGCGGAGACAGCGGGGGCTGAGGGAGGGGAAGAATGGCAGTTGCGGCGCTGGTTCCCGGGAACAGCAGTCAAGACAGAACTGCGGAGGAGGAGTCCGGGAAAGCGGCAGTCTGGACCCCTCCTCTCCGTTCCCCCCGCCCCAGCTGAGAGGCGCCTTGGCGGGTCTGAGGAACCCTCCTCCGTACTTCCTTTGGCTGCTGCCGCCGCCAGGAGATGGGCCTGCTCGCCCGCAGCCCTGCGCCCTGCGTCTCCCTGAGGAGTTGAAGGTACTGGCGAGTACGGGGGGAAGCTGCGCCCGGGAGCCAGAGGGCAGGGGCGGCTCCAGTTTCCGACACGGGGCGCTCCGGCTGCTACCCTTGCGCCCCTCCCCGGGACGGAAATGGATTCGGAAATCCCACGGGAAAGGCGCCCCTGCTCGTGCTCGGCGCAGGGCCGGGGCGGCCCGGGGGTCAGGCCTCGGGCTGGTTCCGCTTCCCCGGCTTGGCCCCGGCGCTGGCGTTCCCTCGGCCGCGCGGGCGGAGGGGAGGCGTGGGATACGCCCCGAGCTCTGTCCTCCTGGCCCGAGCAGTCTGGGGCGAGGGCGGCCGACCCGGCGGTGTTGTGACGGGCGGAGGCGGCGCTCCCCTCCTCACTTCCCCAGCCCCTGGAGCAGGCGACGCGGAGGGCGGCCGCGGTGGGGAGGTGGCGGGGGCGGAGCGCATTCCTGATGGGTGAAATCGGCTCTAACGGGACTGATTTCCGGGCCTTGCTGCAAATTTGGAGCCGGGGCCAGCGCCCCCCACCCCCTGCGGCTGGAGGCCTCGGGGAAAAGAGAGGCAGGCACTGGGGAACGTTCATCCGGGGGACTGCCACCCCCTGCAAAAGCAGAAATTAAACAGACGAAAAATGGTGGGGTCTTGGGGTAAAGTATGTCTTAAGAGGGGTCCTCCAGGGTTGTCTCCCTCACACTAAACCTTCAGGGAGTTCTCATTCTTCAGCCAGTAATGCCACTATTTTTAATTTCCAGTTTTTCCTATCATTTGGCTTCCCCTCTGCCGTTGCCCTCCCCCCCACCCTTTTCATTAATGGGAAGAAGGAAAATAAGTTCAGGGTTCATTAACCTCGCGACAAAGGGCAGTAAATAAAAGAGGGGAGAGAATGGTTAAAGCTACATATGGGAGAAAGAAAGGTCTTATTTTTTTCCCATTAGCTCTTGAAGGTAGAAATATACGAACGATGTTTTATTCTGGTTAATATTTACTATTCAAAATGTTGCGGAACGTCCTGTTGGGTGGACCTTGGAAAGAACAGCATTTAAATGCCTCTGCAGTTTTCACACCCAGGTGTTGGCTGCAAACGCTAGTATTAAATGTTAGTAAACGATGGAGGAATAAAGCAATCCTTTCCTCTGATCGGTTGCCTTAAAATGTGGTTTTTCCTTAGCGTTCCACTTTTCTTTTTTTGGTAGTAACATGGCTTTCTTTTTATTTATACATATGTATTTTTTATTTTAACCTAATTCCTTGACCCTTTTTGTTATGTGAAGTCTGACGGTATGCCCAAGTTTCATTTTCGGTTTTGCCATTAACCATCTTAATGAGCATCTTTATGAGTCAAACTGTTATTACCGTATTGGCTTGTTTATGCTTCCTTAACACCCAACTGTCAGAATTGAATCAAAATGTAAATATTTCTATTTAGAAAATGGCGATGATCTATTGTTGACGCTTATTTTCAAATGTTCTTTGCTATGTGCAATTCCATGGTAAAGATCTAGAATTAAGTCTTGGGACCTAAACCACATTATGCAACAACAATAACAACAAAAACCCTTTTTATTTGTTAGTTTTATTCCTCTTTCTATTATTGTATACAGTGTAACTGAAATTTAAATTTCATGTGTCCTCAAAAACTATTTTAATGTCACCACAAGGTGTCTTTCTGAGGAAAAAATTACATTTGGCAACTAATGTTAGTGTAGTTTTTCAATATCTGTGACTTCCAGGAGGATTCCAGTAAGATTAACTTTTAAAACTGTAACATTATTTTAGGAATTGAAACACAACTCAATTTTTAGTCTCCAGATAGTAGCTACTTGAAATATTGTTGTTTCGTTTGAATGACGCCTCAGTTGAGCATTAGAGTTTATATAAAGAACGGTCCATTTTACTGTCTTCAGACCAGTATTGGAATTTTTAAAATTCTGGTGGTGATTTGTAGAATTTTGGGTGCCTTTTTACTTGGTTAAATGAAACTGTTTTTTTCTACCTAACATATGAAAGATACTAAGATTATTGTCTGTTTTTAAAGCTACTTCAGCATTTTAGTGGAAAATAAATGCACTTCACACATTTGAAATAGAGGAAGTCATAAGGTCATATTTTTGCAGTTGTGAATTAAGACACTTGGGGTCGCCTCTCTTCAATGGGATCAGATTGAAAGATACTATTCTCACGGGGTTGTTAGATGGAATTAAATATAGGTAATTTAAAACAAACTCTTTTATCATTTGAAAGACTCTCTTGTATATTATGGCAGGTTCTGATTTTATCCTTAACACTTCCTTAGATTTATCACAGAAATTCTTTGGTTTCTAATCATCCCTGCCCACACTGCCCCACCCCCACCCCCCCAACCTGGAGGGCGCTGAGGATTGAAAAACGTAGTTTTCTGAATTTTTCAAGGAGGAGAAGGAAGACAAATATTTGTGATAACACGTCAAAATCCCTGGTCAGGTGCTGGGCAGAGAGTAAGCTAGGGATAAATTTTGTTGCATTTATATCTGAATTGCCTCTTTCTATTTCTTCCCTACTCAGGTTATAAAGGAAATCTTAGAGAATTGCTATTTGTTTTTCTGATGCTTCTAACAAGTGACAGTTGATTGTCAAATGCAGGCTGGTTTCGTGTTAAGCTTTATGATCTTTTATCATTTAAGGCCCATGTAAAAATTAGGCCATTTTAGGCTGAAGGCCAAAAAAAGGTTGAATTTCGAAATTTATATTTGATTATATTGGCATTGTGTTTGGCAAACTAGCACTAGTAGTTTAATGATGGTCTGAAAGGACCCATGGTCGTACATGAAGTACTTTAGCTTAAAGGTTTTGGTTTGATCTTTTTTTGAGCAAAATGTTAATCTGATTACTTACGGAGATCACCTAAATTTTCCTTAGGTGATTTTTTTTCTCCAGTCAGGAGTAATTATTATTTTTCTTTGGCTTTTTAATTTTTAAGTCATGAGGTACCAGCTTTTGTTAGTTTTGTATAACCCTGAAACAACTATATATATAACCACACCTGCACAGCTAAAGACTGTGGGATACTGTTCCTTTGCTAAACACATCTGTATTTCAGATGACGGTAGAAAAAAGGCAGTGAAATCATTTTGGGTGTTTAAAACTTGGATACTTCGTTCGTTTCTCAATAGCTGTCATATGTCAGTAATACTTTCTGTATTAAACTGAGAAAAATTAGCACCTTTTGATAAAGTAGTTTTTGCTTGTATTGCTCTCTTTGTAGCTGTCAATAAAACCTGAACAATTAATTTGTTTATTAGTGACATTTTCTCGAAAGCTAGGATATTAGCCTAAAAAGCATTATACATTCTTGTTCTATTGATGTTACCTACTATTTTCTTTCAAAAGTCATTTACTTGAGAAATGCTACTTGTTAATTTGTTTTTGAAGTCCTTCTTGGTAGTTTCCTTTTTTGTGTGTGAGTATACCAGTATTTTTTTTTTAACATCTTTATTGGAGTAAATTGCTTTACAATGGTGTGTTAGTTTCTGCTGTACAACGAAGTGAATCAGCTATATGTATACATATATCCCCATATCCCCTCCCTCTTTCGTCTCCCTCCCACCCCTCTAGGTGGTCACAAAGCACTGAGCTGATCTCCCTGTGCTATGCGGCTGCTTCCCACTAGCCATCTGTTTTACATCTGGTAGTGTATATATGTCTGTGCCACTCTCTCACTTCGTCCCAGCTTCCCCTTCCCCCTCCCCGGGTAGAGTTTTCTTCTGTGAAATCCTCAGTAGGATAAAACTAATAAGGAGTTGTTTTACCCCTCAAATAAATTTGTGCGTTGAATTTTGAAGCAAAATCCTCAGAAATCACCCTAGTTTGTTTAAGCCGAAAAGAAACTTCAAAACTCAGTCTTGGGTTCAAAAAAACTGAACTTAGCCCCTTAAAATTATGTACACTTAACATTTTCGACCTCTGTCCTCCTCTGGAGACCCCTGAAAGTATAAACAGTCCTGCTGTAATGTGAATAGCAAGCAAGGTTGCCAGTTGTAGAGACTTCTGGTAGAGATGAGCCGTAGGAGGGAGCAAACTAGTTAGAGGGAAGGAACAAGAAACCAGGAGAAGCTATAGGGAGTGAGATAGTGTTAAGCTTCCAGATGAATCGTATATAGCATAATAATATAACTAATGTATCACAAAAGTAGATGGCCATTACTATAAATCTGCTGATGATTTATATTTTGTGATTTCTAAGTCAGGTATTGGCATTTGCTCCCCAAATGGTGAAGTACTCTAAGTTATTCTTATGCATATGAGATAATACATATGAAATGTGCAGTAGAAGTGTAGGAGATAATGTAAACCGTATGATGCCAGGGACCATAATCACCATAATCTTTGTTCACTCTTAAGGTCTCAGCACTTAGCATAAGGCTTGACAACGATAGGTGTTGGATAAGTATTTGCTAATTGAATAAAGTTATGTATTGTAATGTAAGTATTTCATAACTCTCTCTATAGCAGGGCTATCTAATAGAAATATAATGTAAGTCATAATTTAAGATTTCCTTGTTAGCCACATTAAAAAGTAAAAAGAAACAGGTGAAATTAATTTTCATAATATATTTTATTTAATGCAACATATACAAAACATTATTGTCTCAGCATGTATTAGTGAATGACTTTACATTCTTTTATTCATACCAAGTCTTTAATCCACCATGTGGTTAACACTGGACAGCACAGCTCTAGGAGTATTTTGTATGAAATGTTTTTTCCTTTCCACAGAAATTCTTTAGTCTTTTTTGATAGTCTCTTCTTTTGTCTTTTTTGATAGTCTCTTTCTAACATGTCTTTTGAGTCCAAATACAGAAGCACATATGTCATTGAATTGGAATTACTGAGCTGGATTGAAAGTCAGGATACCTGACTTCTTTCGTTTGTACAACTTTCCCAAAATGGCTCTGCCTCACTCTCTTTCCCTGTCTGTAAAATGAGGGAGAATGTGCTATCATCTGTTTCATTTGATTAGTATAAATTATGTCTTT